CTGCTTCTTGCAGACGGCGTTGTCCTGTTGGCCCCATCAAACCAGGGCCTCCAGCATGCATTGGGGCGGTTTGCAGCAGAGTGTGAAGCGGCTGGGATGAGAATCAGCACCTCCCAATCCGAGGCCATGGTTCTCAGTCGGAAAAGGGTGGCTTGTTCTCTTCAGGTTGGTGGAGAGTTCCTGCCTCAAGTGGAGGAGTTCAAGTATCTTGAAGTCTTGTTCACGAGTGAGGGAAGGATGGAACAGGAGATTGACAGGCGGATCGGTGCAGCTTCTGCAGTAATGCGGTCGATGTACCGGTCCGTCGTGGTGAAGAAGGAGCTGAGCTGTAAGTTTAGGTGTTCCCCAGAAATGCTTCTAAACAATGCCCAATTAAACCACTTATTTGCAGTCTGACATGAAAACAGTAACCAAACAGTCATTATACAGTGCTCCACTCGCTGTAGTCACCACTCAATGCTTAAAAAGTTGAGACACAAAAGAAACCTCATCTTAACAACCTGAAATATTTGTACAGTCCTATTCAGTCCAAAGGAAGACAGATTTCACAGCTGATATCATATTGTTGTGAAGCATCGCCACCATTTTCATGAGGCATTGTTTTTGAGACTTGTCTCTTGTAAGATAACTTACCATTTGTTACAAGAGCAGTCAGATGGCATTATTGGGTTTTATTTAATGTATGTATAGTTAGATATAAGAAACATTATAATATTACATATATATTATCTATAATATTACATGTCCCTTGTAGGCTAGTGATTAAGGCGCAACGCCTTCACCACTGCCCGGATTCGAGTCAGGGTTGCGTCAGGAAGGGCATCCGGCGTAAAACACGTGTCAAATGTCAACATGCGAGTCGTCAGTGTGACGATTCGCTGTGGTGACCCCTAAACGGGAAAAGCCAAAAGTGACTTTTTTTCATCTATAATATTACATATTTTGATGTACCAACATGAATTAAACAGCCTGATACCCGACCTGTAAATGTTTGCACAAAGGTTCACAGTCTAATGTGGAAACAAAACACGATGTCTTGCTGAGTAGTTACAGCTTTTTTAAAAATCTGTTGTTAATGGACCACCCTAAAGCATATTTTTGCTCTAATTCCAAAATATTAGCAGCTAGCACGCAAGTGTACATTGGCATAATTGTGATGAATCTGCCCGTGCTAATATTTATATACCATATAATGTTTTAAACCACCACAGGCTAATTTTATCTGTTAATTTCTGCCGTGGCTGATTAAGCATGATTCAGGCAAAACATGGTGTGAGGGATCGAATTTGTTTACTGTCACAAGGTGATGTAGAGAGAGTGACTCAATGGCTCACCCCATTAAACATTCTGTTGCATAAAAACTTGATTGGGCCAATGGGAGAGGGAAAGCAAAAGCTTTGACATGAAATTTTATGTTAATTTAATGGCTGTTAGCATTTGATTCTGATTTGTGTGTCTGTGTGTTTGTGTGTTCGCCAGACCTGTTATTGTGCTGTAATGTGTGAAATGAGAAATTAGTGAATATTTGATGGAGCTGTGACTGTATCCAGTCAGTTTGTTTGAACTTTAATCTATGTCACAGCTAAATGTGTTACAGAAAATCTGGATGTTTATTCAAGTCCATCAGCCAAGATACAGTATCAGTGTCAGCGCCCTCTGTCATTTAGTATTTTGGCTCTTTTTCTCTGTCACA